GGTCTTGTGACTGGTCTTGTGTCTGGTCTTGTGACTGGTCTTGTGTCTGGTCTTGTGACTGGTCTTGAGTCTGGTCTTGTGACTGGTCTTGTGACTGGTCTTGTGACTGGTCTTGTGACTGATCTTGAGTCTGGTCTTGTATCTTGTCTTGTGATGATTTTAAATACGATACTGGAATGTTTATTTCAATTTGATACCTTTCTCAGACAGATGCTATCCTCATGCTCACATCAGACAGGGATAACTTTGCTCATCACAGGAAGGTAACATTTAAAATTCAGAACCCTCATCAAGACATCAAAGTCCCCCCAAGGTACCAACGACCAGGCTTCTAAATGTTGCAACCCAAAAAACTGTTAAAGCTATTAAGCTAAGCTATATCCATGTTTGAACTGTATGTGCTGCATAATTTGATGTCATGAGCATACACGAGATAAAAATCTAACGTGGGACACATAATTCTAGCATCAGAATACATGACTCAATTCAAAATTTCAGACGGGCAACCGGATAGGCACTGAACTGAGGACTTCCTTGAAGTCACTGCAACAATTCTTACCTGTACGATTATATCCCAGGAGTACACTGAACGGGTGCAACACATCAGAGTGGCCAAGATGATATCGGTAGCGAACACCTTGCCTTTGCCTGCCAACTACATCATTGGATGCAACAGTAAAGAGAGAAATTACACCATGACCAATTAAGGTGGCAACCCAATTCAGAATTACATTGAGCTAAGAACAGAAAAATAAACGTTTTTCGGTGAAAGTATAAAGCAAACAGTTGTTGAGTATAAACAAGATTGTTTTCAGACTAAACTCTGAAATGTATTAGACAAGTGTTTTGAAGATTTCAAACTCGACCTGCGTACCTTTCTGATAATGGGGTCATCGGTGGTGGTGACCTTGTGGAAGATGCGATTGACCCTTGCCAGTCTCCGCTGGGACTTGGTGGTGATGCGGTCAAAGGTCTTGTCGTAGTACTCCATCTCTCCACAAGTAAACCTGACAACAAGAAAACATAAAATCCAAATGTTCAGTTTACCTGACTGAATACCTAACAACCTTTTTAACACTGCAAAGTAAACTGACTAAAGCATTGTTTATAAACTGTGGCCTTCCTATGGGCCAACATGAGTACCAGATCGCCACACACTCCTCAGGGACCACAGATTCCACCTCAGAACTGTGCCAAGTGCAGTGCCCTCTCCCTCTGACACACACACACACGCACCCTTACATATTGTGGGGTATTTCCTTTGTTCTCGTGTACAAAACTCCCACACAACACAGAAAAAATTTCAAATCACTGCCATTTCAACCAAATTCAGTTTCCTGGGTTGAAATTTCGACCATATGTCCCTTATATAAAACACTTCAACTTGTGACAGATGAATGACACTTGAAAATTCCTCCTTTTTGAGTAAATTTGAAATATGTATTTCGTGAAATTCTCGTGGGGTACCACTTTAGTACCCCACAAGGATCAAAACTGGCCTTATGGGGTACCTTCCATTGTTCCGGTACCCCACAAGGCACCATGTACAAGTGCACATGAACACGCTAGCACTGCAGCCTTGGTATGGACATTTCTTTCTATTTTGCAAAGTCAAGGAAACTCAGTGAAAGTATTTCATATTCTTGCACTGCGAACACTATTTTAAGCCCGATTTTTGTTAATGCTTTCCTTAACTGTTTCCCTCCATTTACTAGGAATAACCCAAACCCCAAAATGCTTTTACACTTTTCTTTTTTCCAGTGACCGTATCTACGCAATATCTCCACTTCCACTGTTGTGTGGACATGTTTTGTTCCCGAGTCCACACAAGGAACAGCATGTTTGTACATCTGCAAGAACACCTGCAATCGTACCTTGGATGGCACCGTACCACGTGGAAACATTTCTTTTGTTAGGAAATTTTGAACTGGATTGTGGGGACTTTTGCCTGTCCCCGTAATGATTTTGACCCTAAATCGACAGGTGTACAGTCCTCACAAATACAGACCAAGTTTTGAAGGGCTCCCATAGGATTTCTATATGATTTCCCCAAGTGGGGGCCTACTGTCCTCTAACTGATCGTGGTTTATGACTGAATGTAAGAAACAAACTCATATACTGAGGTTTACAATCACACTCAGTGCACATTCAATGCTGGCATTGTCCACTAAGAGACTGATGAGCCCCCGGCTTATGCTGTGGATACTGCTTGGAATTTTTGACGTATCCTTAGGAATTTTCAGCCATGGACAACTTCACTCCATCCTCAGCAGATAAAAACAGAATAAAGTAATTACAAGATCCTGATAAAAAAGGCTGTGCACAGAGCAATAATCAGCAAATTTCCTTGAAAATCTTAAACTTTCTCTATATTCAATAATAAGCAAAACAAATCACAAAACTGAAGACTTGGCTTTCACCAAGAAAAATTTTTCCCGAGTTTAGGAAACATAAAGCACTCCTGATTTCTTCTTTTCTTTTAAAAGTCTCCTTTCCCAGTGATGCACATCTTCAGAGCAGGATTCAGAGAAAGATTAGATATTTCTTTTGGGGGGAAATCTTGATACCTGTATAATGCCTACGACCCACAAATACCTGCCCAAAAATGTCGACGTGACATTGATTGTTACTGTGTAAAAAAAAACAACTCACAGGTCCTCCGACTCGTTGATGTCTGGGTAGCGGAGCTTGTTGAGCCGAGGGAAGTCTAATTCCTCCAGGACCTCCCACTCACTGCGAACCTGCACTGAGGCATTCCGTGTCTTCACCGGCCCCTGCATGCGGGTCACACAAAACAAATCATAGGACTATTTGAGGAATCCTGTGATGCCAACTGCTTAATATCAATCTCACACATCTTCCCCGGGTTCTTTGTAAAATGTAATACAAATCCCCATAAAGCTGATGAGAGTGCCCTGACAGGTGTTCTGTAGTAGCACTTTCACCAGCATTCAACACTGGAGTCTCCACCTTTGCCTTGCAGAGAAGACAATACAGGTACCCAATTTCAATCAAACCTAGCTTCGGTACAGCAAACCTCTGAGGTTTTGGCTAATTGTAGAAAAAGATGAATTGTCCCCCCCTGTGAGAAAAATGTCGTTTGAATTGGAAGACTGAGGACTGGTTTTGTACTCACCGAAGCCTTCCAGAATCGGTTGTTGCCCTTGTCGGTCCACTTCTGCCGGCCCTTGCCGTACTGCTTCTGCAGCCGGCGCACCTGCCGCTGCCGCTCCTTCTGGGCCTTGGTCAGGGTCTGCATGTTGACCTGCTGGCCCCGTTGCTCGCGACGCTCACGATCCCGTCGCGTGGCGGCGCGCGGCTAGAAAGAATTAAGAGAAGATGACTCCCTCAGTTGACAGAACAAACTGTGGGGGCCCTTTGAAGTGACTGGTTTGCTGATCTTCAGGCAAAAGTTCATTTTACCAAGATCATCAACACTTACCCACTTGGTAGGTCCAAATCACGTCAAAATATGACTGAGGACTTTCGGGGTTGAATTATTAACCACAGACCATTTCCCCACCAATAGTTTATAAGACAAAATATCCCAACAGGTTTACTGAACATTACCTGATTAAATCGCATCCGGTTGCGCAAGTAGATGGGTTTCTGGGCCCGTGCAGTATCCACCAGCTGAAACGAGGATTCATCCTGGTCATGGTAGTACGTGTACTGGTTACCTGACCCAAACTGCGAGGAGTATTTCCCTGGGAGTTAAGAACACATTGGACGAAAAGTGTGGTACAGAACAGTCATGACCTGGACATATCCAGCATTAGTTAGGATGTCAGTTGGGGGAGACAGGTTGGTGAAGCGACCGTAGTTCAAATCCCACCATGGCCAATATGTGGACTAGGTTGTTTTAGCCCTTACCCACTTCCATGGGATTTCCTTGAAATATTTGTCCAGAGTTTTCCGTCCACCTCTAAAATTGGGTATTTCTTCACCATCTTCTCCCCTAAGTCCCCTAGGGAGAACAGTTGAGAACTTACAGGGCTTTATCCCGTGGAAATAAGCAATGACATCCAATTTCTGAGCAAATTGAATTAAATGCAGGCATATTTGTACCCATTCATAAAATAAACACCCATCTTTCCTAAAGCCAACTCTGTTTTTTCCCTTAATTTGATGGATCCAGGGTGAAACAGCTCAGCCATTATTAATAAATATGTGGCCAATCCCCGCAATTTTAATTTTTTTATCTCAAGGTGCACTTTGGTGGAGTTTATAATCCGATCTGCACAGAATGTGAAATTCTGGTCAATTACAAATACCCGTTCACAACTTTAACAGTAAGTGAAAATCGTTTAAAAGGTGCAGCAAAATTTTATTTGGAAGAATTTCTCGATTTTTGTAAGCCCCATGTTGAAAACCTCTCTGTTGTGAGTTGATGAGGTTCCGTAAAGAACTCCTGGACTCAGTGTTTTCGTCAGTGTCATGTTTTCAGGAGTAAGCAAATTATCTTTTGACTAACGCATACATATAGTTGACAGGTATAAATGAAAAAACAGTGGCCCATCCTTGTTTCATATTACCTTGAAGATTTACTGATATTTGTTAAAAATCAGGCAACAAGTTCCTTAATAGGGAACTCTTTGCCTCATTCTGTGCCCAATTACCCGCCATCGTTTTTAAAATATAACTTTGGAACTGAGTTTTAAGCAACTTATTTTTTCAGATTAAATTTACATTTTTCAGGACAGACATTTATTAGTAGTAGTATTATTTCTAGTAATGAGACCAAGGATTCCTCAAGAGTACCCTAGGTACTGTGGCTTGCAAGCCTGAAGACACCTGCAGAGAGGAGACAACGAGGAGCAGAACCAGATTTAGGGATGGGAAGAAAACCCAAGAGGATTATTCTGAGTAAAGCCTGCGGAATCAAGCAGGGACTGAAAACCCAATCTATATTTGGACTGAGCCGGGAGTCAAACATGGATCACAGAGGTGGAAGGAAGAAAAGAACAACTATGCCAACCTAAAAGAATGAGTTTGTGTCCTCAATAGCAAGAACAAAACATGGAATGATAAAACAAGGTCACAAAAAGAGCATGGGCTGTGACACCTACCTAAGTATCTTTTGTCTTGGTATGTAGCACCAGTCCAGTCGGATACCTGGAAGAGAGCATAAAAAGACTCGTTATTTTTGTCAACAGTGATATGATGCAGTTTTAAACCCTAAGTACTGGACCCAAAAGTTTTTGATGTGAAAGTAGATATTGAACCAGTCACTAACAAAGGGTGGAGTCAATTTGAATAATTCAGCATTTGAATATTCAACCTTCAATTCAATCGAATATCTGAA